AATGTGAAAGATTCCAACCAAACTGAAATGGAAACTGCAGCCTAGTGTCTAAAGGGTAAATAGGGAGATCACAAAGAGAATAGTGGAAGGAGAGGTACAGACAAGAAATGAAATAAACCTAATATATGTGTGTGTATATATATATATAAATAGCTGGGATATAAAGTCTCAAAATAGGAGATTTTAAAACATGGTTAAAAATTGTGAGAGGAACGACAAAACCATCAGACCATAAGAGATAAGAGAAGCAGGCCATTCAGCCCATTAAGGCTCCTCTGCCATTCAATGAAATCACAGCTGATCTGATAATCCTCAACTCTACTTTGTTGCCTTTTCCCCATAACCCTTGATTCCCTTACTAATTAAAAATCTGTTTGTCTATTTTAGCTCTGAATTATGTCAAAAACCTGCCTCTGCAGCCCCATGCAGTAAAGATATCCATAAATTCACTAATCAATGAGAGAAGAAATCCTCCCTCATCTCTGTTTCAAATATGCGACCTCTTATTTTGAGATTATGCCCCTATGGTCCTAGACTCCCCCACATTGGAAAACAATCTACCCTGCCAAGTCATAAAGTCATAGAATCATAGAATTTCTATGGTGCAGAAGGAGGCCCTTCAGCACATCATGCCTGCACTGGCTCTATTGCTTAGTGCTGATCTCCCGCCTTTTCCCCAAATCTCTGCATGTCATCATTATCCAAAAATCCATCCAATGACATCCTGAATGCCTCCACTGAACTTACTTCCACCACAGTTCCAGACAGTGCATTCCATTCTCTCATCATCTCGGATGTCTTGACAAATGTGCAGGGTTGGAATGTTCCTCTAAGAACCTTGTATGTTTCAATAAGTTCACCTCTCAATCTTCTAAACCCCAATGAGTACAAGCTCAATCTACTCAGACTCTCCTCATAAGACAGTCCCTCTATATCCATGATCAGCCTAGTTAACCTTCTATGGACTGCCTCCAGTGTATGCCAGTATATCTTTCCTTAGACAAAAGAACCAAAACTGTTCATGGTATTCCAGCTGTGCTCTGGATGGTGTCTTGTATAGTTTTAGCAAGGCCTCCCTATTTTAAAACTCCAGCTCCTGTGAAATGAAGGCCAACATTCAATTTGCCTTCCTTATTACCTGCTGAATATGTATGCTAGCTTTTTATGATTTAAGCACAAAGAACACCCCAATCCCTGTATGCTTAAGCTTTCTGCAGTCTTTTGCCATTTAAACAATATTCAGCTTCTCTATTCCTTCTGCCAAAGTGCAAAACATCACATTTCCCCACATTATATTCCATCTGCCAAGCTTTTACCCACTCATTTAATCCACCTATACCCCTCTGCAGATGGGCCAAGTGGCCTACTTTTGTTCCTATATCTTACGGACAATATTCACACATTCCTACTCATTGCTTTGAAGCAATCTATTCATTAGTAGAAATACAGTTTTATTACCATAAGTAACAAAATGCCACACACAGGCAGGAAAACGGACAATACATGTAGTTCATGAATTATATTCACTAATTAGAACAGACCTGCAATCTTAATAGACACAATACTCAATATGCTGAGCTAGCTACAAAACAGCAATTAACAAAGTCGTTAGGATTTTGAACTATATAGCCAAGGCATTAGAACGTGAATCAGAGAGAGTTGTAATTATACAGTATTTAGCTCTGATCAGTCAAAATCTTGAACATTGTGTTCAGTTCTGTTGGTCTGGAAACAATGAAAACTGTCAAGTACTGGAGACAGTGCAGACAAGAGCCACAAGAGTTGCTCCCAAATGTGAGATCTGAATTATGAGGAAAGACTAGATAGTCTTGCGATTTTCAGTTTGGATCTCAAGGGTGATGTTGTAGAAGTATATAAAAGATTTTGCTAAAGCCACAGAGAAAAGTTAGTCTAATACATTACCTTAATGTGAGCTGAGGGGAAACAGAAACTAAAAGATACTGCTTTATACCAGTAAAAAAATACAGAATTTATATCAGGAAATTTGTCTTCACAAAAAGGGTAATCAACATATGGATTAAATTTTCAGCTTGAGTAGCAGATGTAAAAACTAAAGGATCTTGTAAGAAATAATGGGAGATCCCTAGATAAATGAATTAAGATGGGCCAGGTTTCCCACTTCATTTGTGATATTTCTGTCACTTAAATGATTTTACTGACACTAAAGATACAGCTGCCTGAAGCAAAGCAACAGCATATTTCTAAAATATACAGCTTAAACTCTCAACGTAGGCCATCAGGAATCTCTTTTAAACCTCAGGTGGGGATGTGGTTTCATGAGCAGCCGGCTCATCGAGATGTAATAGGGGGAAGAACTGACTAATTTTAACAGCAGGCTTCATTAACAGGTCACCAGTCAGCAGGAAATGGCAGAAGTCCCTGACTGTAGTCTCAGAGGTTAGGTTTGACTTGGTACATTTTACCAAGTTAAAGATATTACATAAATGCAACTACATATTGTTTTTTGAGTCATAATTTGCCTTCTTGTGTCTGAATTATTATCAATAACAACAATAACTCATGTTCATATAACGCCTTCTACATATTAAACATTTCAAATCAGTACCATCAAAGTATGGCACTGAGCCATACAGAGAAATATTAGGGCTGATAATAAAATGTTTGGACAAAGAGATGGATTTAAGGATTCCCTTAAAGGATCAGAAAGGGATGTGTTTAAGGAGATAATTCCAAGAAATGGCCCTTATTATTGAATTAATTATTACTAGCAGTGCTCAACAGGAAGACTGGAGGAGATCACATATCTAATCGTTATAAGACTGGAGGAGGACTCTCTTGTGGTACAATGGTAGTGTCCTTATCCCTGAACTGAGGAGCCCAGGGTTCAAGTCCCACCTCCTCCAGAGATGTGTAATAAAATCTTGAACAGGTTGATTCAGGGGGAAAAAAAATGTGTAAGCATGGAGGAGATTGCAGAGATAGGGAGGGTTGAGATTAAGGAGGCATGTTTATAACAAAGTGGCTTTCTTCAGCCATGAGGCAATTTTGGTCATTGAGCAGAAGCATGAACAGTGAACTGGACTTGATAAAAATTAAGATACAGGCAACACTGTTTTGAATGAAGTTTTCTAGCTGTAGGATGTGGGAAGCCAGCTTAGAGTACATTAGAATTGTCAAGGCAAAAGAAATGAATGAAGTTTTCAACAGCAGATGAGCCAACCCCAGATTGAAATCAGGAAATATGTGTACTGACCATTTGGATTTGGCAAAAAAAACACCACCACCAGTTCCTGGTTAATCATCAAACTAAAAGTACAGCCTAGTCCCTACAGTCTCCTGAGAACTGATTCACTTTATTTTAGCAAGGACACCATAAACATCAGGTGGATTTCCTTGGTGCATGAAACTTAAAATGATAGTCAGCATGACTGAGGTAAGATGATCAGCAGCTAGGGTTTCTGCCCCCAATTTATTTGCCACTGCCCATTTTCTCTTCAACTAGGAAAAATGGCAGTTACTTCTCCTTTTATGGAATTCCACGAAATTAGGAAAGATATTCATGATACTTCAAAAGACTTGATTTACAAAGTTATGTTAACTTTGGTCCTGACAAAACATAAGGTGGCACAGTTGACCTTCAAAAATTTGCGAAGATTGAAAGAGTGCAAATTATCAACCTTTTTTTAATGACCAGAAAAATGATTTTGATACAAATAATTTACTATTTAGTGTGACGTCTCCATCAAGATCTTGCCCTAGAACTATAATCTCTAAACCAATGTACTTACCACTTCATAAGATGCCACAGCACAATTTAAAACTGCTTGTCTTTCCATCAACACTTCTATTTTAAAAGTCAAATGAAAAACTATTCTCACCAATTTAGCCTTGCAGTTTTATTTGTAACTTTTTGAGAATATAATTTAAATTGTGTGTATTGAAAAGATTGGTGATTTAATAAGCCAGACTACCAAGAGAACTGACACAATCACAAAGGACATATGTCAATGACTCACCAACAATGCCTTGGCAAAAGGAAAATTCAGGCCTTACCTTTCCACACCAAACATGCTTATTAGCCAATCAAAAATCTATTCTGGGTAATTGAGGTAAAAACTCTGCAATTGTACAAGAGACTGTAGGATGTTTTGACTGAGGAGTTGCCAACACCTGCTGTTCTCAAGACATCCACTTCCTTCCTTCTAATTATTGACTCCAATTCCTGTTTGTCGTTGATGCTTTGTCCAACACATTACAGACAAAGCAATATACTTATATATTTCACAACTCCTGCTTTGTTCTCATCAGGTTTTTTTTAATTACTCCCTACACTTTTTTTCTGCACCCTGAATTTTGATATTGCCACATATTTTGCGATTCCAATGATGGGGAAACGATCAGCATCATTACAATTGTGAAACTGATAAGAACTCTGGCTTAGAGATAGTAGGAACTGCCGATGCTGGAGAATCTGAGATAACAAGGTGTAGAGCTGGATGAACACAGCAGGCCAAGAAGCATCAGAGGAGCAGGAAAGCTGATGTTCCGGGCCTAGACCCTTCTTCAGAAGGGCTAATGGTATCAATGTGGACTTCACAAGCTTCAAAATCTTCCCTCCCCCTAGCGCATCCCAAAACCAGCCCAGCTTGTCCCCGCCTCCCTAACCTGTCCTTCCTCCCACCTATCCCCTCCTCCCACCTCAAGCCCCACTCCCATCTCCTACCTACTAACCTCATCCCGCCCCCTTGACCTGTCCGTCCTCCCTGGACTGACCTATCCCCTCCCTAATTCCCCACTTACACTCACCTTTACTGGCTCCATCCCCGCCTCTTTGACCTGTCTGTCTCCTCTCCACCTATCTTCTCTGTCCATCTTCTATCTGCCTCCCCTTCTCTCCCTATTTATTTCAGAACCCCCTTCCCCTCCCCCATTTCTGAAGAAGGGTCTAGGCCCGAAACGTCTGCTTTCCTGCTCCTCTGATGCTGCTTGGCCTGCTGTGTTCATCCAGCTGTACACCTTGTTATCTCAGAACTCTGGCATATGCACGTATACAATAAAATAAGAAACGTAGAGGCTGCTGTCAGTCAGTCCCTGCTCCTCCACAGGGTACACTATTGAAGACCTCACAGATAGAAATCTTTCAAAATCACTTTATTTTGTGAAATTACACATATACTCTGAAATGTTATGCTTTTCTGAATGGGGTGCAACTAAGTCATAATTACTGAATAACTTATTTGGTCTTGAAAGGCAAATTTGATGATTGTGAATGTCATATATTTCCATTATCATAAAATGTCATTGGGTTTTTAATCAGTTTTTTTATGCTTGCTTACGAAATTCCAGCTTCCACTTTATCCTATATGTTTGGCCCAGTCAATGTTTTCCAGTCTGTAAAGTGAAGGATTTCCAGTGAACTATATTTTCTGGCTTATTGTCTGTAAAAATTCTTCAATGTGACTGGCTGCTAAGCTACTGATATCATCACAGTAGGCAGACACTAGAGTTCCCCTGTAATTGGCACTAGAATCAAATGAAGTGTCAGGAATAGTGAAATCCACGTCACAAAGTTTGTGAGCCCTTTGTGGACAGTTTCATGCCAGGTCAGCAGAGAGCATTATCATTTCACCACCAACCATAGATTCCATGCAGCTGCATTTCTTTTTGTATTCTGAATTTTGTTCTTATCCCTTCTACTTAACATTTGGGTATTATAATTACCCACAAAACATCCACCCATTTATTTGTTTAACAGCCCTATTTATACATTCCAGTAGACCTGGCCCAACCCAGATCAGATGAAGCTCCTTCCTGGAATAGTTCATGCCCAGGTTTTCCACATCCTCTCTCTGGACCTCTTCAAGAACTTGGAGAGAAAAAGAATGGAGTTTTGGGACTGTTACGAAAAAGGCAGCAATTGATTTTAGACTTTTAATTTGTGATGACATCATGTACTTGTGATTCGGAGCTTGGCCACATGGAAAACTAGCAAAGCCAAGCATTGAAAAAAAAGTGCAGCATTCTTTCACTCTATATTATGTTTAAAATTCCAGAAAAAAATCTTTCCCATTCCCCACCTCCACCCCTGATTGTTGCTACTCACCCTGAAACAGGCCCATAAGGAATCGGGATAAGGTTACAAAAGTGATTGGTGTAGAGCTCCAGTGAACAATAAGTGGAGTGAGGGTAATTACCGAGCCCCATGCAGTAGCTGAAAGAAGAAGTATTTTATCGCCACCCAATCTGTTTAAAAAAAGAATAGTTTGTCAGTGCACTTGACTGAAAACATGGCATTTTTACTGAGAAAGCATGACAACAACTAGCAACCCACACAATGTAAAAGCATTATAATGGCATCCTGACATATTAATAGTGCTATAGAACTTCCTTGGTGACATGTCCATCTGGGCCTCCTCCAGTGCCACAATGACGCCACCTGAAAACTGGAGGAGCAGCATCTCATATTCCGCTCCGAGAGCCTACAGCCCAATGGCCTGAACATAGAATTCACCAGTTTCAAAATCTCCCCACCCACAGCCTCATCCCATGTCCAACCCTCCCTCTCATCCCCGCCTCCTTGATCTGACACAACCTATCCATCTTCTTTCGCACCTATCTGCGCCCCCCCTTCCTACTGACCGGTCCCCATTAGCCCCTACCTGCATCCATCCATCACCATGCCACCTACCTACACCTGGCCCCACCCCTCCTCCCTCTATTTACTTCCCAGCTATCTTCCCCCTGCCTAGTCCTGATGAATGGTCCCGATCCGAAACGTTGACTTTTCTGCTCCTCTGATGCTGCCTAACCTGCTGTGCTCCTCCAGCTCCACACTGTATTGAAACTGTATTGTTTGCTCTGTCTATGTAATTTATAGACCAAATGCCAATATGATGCAGGGTGGCGTGTGTATTGATAAAACAATTTATATCTTTCTTAAGCATGGTTTACTTTTGAAACTTACTTGCAAAGTACAGTATGTTCAGGCCAAATAATTACTATCTGCACCTACAAAGAAGTCTGTTGTTTGAGGTTAGACAGCCATTAAAGATTTCTCCTATAGCCCAAGTCTAAAAGCAAAGTGATCAGAAGCAGATTGAAAATGTTTCACATTACTTTATTATGCTGCAGGTAAAATGCTGCTATATAGTATATTTTTAAAAAACAAAGGACTTATTACATGCAAGTGTCCAAATATAAAGTTTCCATGACTAAGGCAAGATATCTTTCTTACCTGTCACTAATGTGGCCACCTATGATTTGAGTCAGGCAATATCCCCAAAAAAAACTTCCGAGCACAATTCCAGACTGTGTCTTGTCCCATGCAAATTGTTCTGCCATGGTAGCTACACAGATAGGCAGTGTTACTCTGACACAGTACACTAGGCACGTGCCCACAAACAAAAAGGCAATCCATGGCTTGGCTTCAAACCTGTTGGAATCAAGAAATGCAAAGTTGTTTCATCATTTTAGAGACACCATGAAAACATTTCTGCAGGCACTGTAATGCAAGCTGTGATGTTGACTATTTTCCAAAGAATATGAAAGTGAACAGTCAGCTGATTTCAAAGTAAATGCTTTATTATTCATATACTGAAAATAGAACTCGTATTGTTTATAAGGAAAGGTGGGAATGTCCTACAAAAAGTACCTACTGTTCTCTTCTCCCCACTCATACTGTTCCCATTTTATCCTTGCAGCCAGTGAAATGGACTGAAATTCAGCCTCTTTTCTTACTATTTGTACCCACACTAAGAGCACCAGCAGATATCTTGACTGAACAACATCACAGGGAGGTCTAGTTCTGTACTTACATAATGTCTAGAAGTCTATGTTTATTTCCCTGAATGGGTATCAACAGCTAGAGCACAGGCCAATTTTCTTCTTCTTCTTGGCCATAATATTCAAATGCTATTCAACTGAAAACATCTAACCATTCAACCTTGGACAGGAATCAAATAGTGATCTTCTATTCTGTACAGTTTAGGTAATAGCAATTACTTTATTCATTGAAAGAGATTGAAATTCTGTTTCTATCTGCTTAATAATTCTCAAAATAAAAGTTTTTTTAATGAAAGTGAAAAATTTAATCACATGCACAGAAACTCACAAAATAAATATCATTGGGGTTCTGAAATATGTGGGAACATTTGTAAAATTATTCTTTCCTTGTTGTTTAAAGTATATATCCCCATTATGCAGTCCAATCCTGGAGTGTTTGTTTAAGTTCGAGGTTAGTGTAAGTGGCAGAACTCATTGATCCAACGATCCAACATGCTGTGTTAGTATTGATGCACTCTGTTCTATACTGTGAAGTGCCAGTCTGCACCAGGGCACAGAGGAAAACAGTGATCATGTAACAGGAAATAAATATTGAATAAAACAGTCAGTAAAAAGCAATGTCACTTCTAGTGTCAATTACTGCCAAATGATAGGGAACAAATGTTCAGTCCCTTGCAGAAGAAACAGAAGCAGAAGACTGGTGTGTAAATTCACACTGTTATGTTCTGGTTTACTGTCACTATCCCATTCCTGGGCATTTTCATTAATGTGGTCTCAGGGCAGAAAGACTATGAACTAATGTAGGGCTAAATATCAGAGGTTGTCTGGAATTTTCCAGCAGAACCAGGAACAAACCAGCTAGCTGATGGTGGTCTCCCAGCAGAAGGCCAGTGGCCCAGTATTCCATGCAGCCTTTAAGGCCCTGCCTGTCTTCATAAAGGCAGTTGCGTCCACAAACCCACCCTGGGGTCTCTGCCCAATTTTAAGTTATTAAAATGGCAGACAGGCCAGCTCAAAATGGAAGTGCCCCCCACCCCCAATATCCAGACCAGCAGGATGCAGATCCTTCAATGCTCGAGGGTTTCATAGTGGACAGAAAGCACACCCTCAGGCCATGAATCAACCTATTTGTCTAAAATTCTAGTCAGTATTTCCTGGCACAGTAGGGTCAGGACCTCCTTTGTTGGGGACCCAAAGCCTAGGTTATTAATGATGGAAAAGGACAAGTTTCCAATTTTGAGGCATAAACGGCTGTACTTAAAAAATGGCAAATACAACTTTAGTGGCCCTCCTTCTCAGCTGATGGCTTTTCAGTCAAAACAATAACAAAACTGAAATGCTGAGAAAACTCAGCAGGTCAGGCAACATCTGTGGCAAGAAAAATAGTGCACATTTCAGATTAATGACCATTCAATCACAAATGTGTTAATAGTAATGGGAAAGGTGGAAGAAGGCAAACATCAACTGTTTCTGGAACCAAATAAATACAATACTACATATTTGGGGAAACAAATAAAAAAAGTGATTTGGAGGTCTGGCAGCATGTATGGAGAAAGAAATTAAGTGAGCAGATATACCAGACCTGCTGAGTATTTCCAGCTATTTTTGCTTTTATTACTGAATTAGACAGTCGCATTGAATTTTCCAATTTTCAAAGATGGGACAATATGGCAACTTCAGAACCCACTTCTATTGTTGAATGATTGCTCACTATACTGTAAACATAAAGAAAAGAGGTCTCTGAACTAAAAGAAATTAACAAATGAGAATAGATGAATACAGAAATTCTTTACCTGGTTTATGAATGTAAGGAAAAGTTATGGTGAAAGGTTGTTTTCATTCTGGAGAGAGGTATACACAGGTGCACTCTGAGCATGAAGACCATTGTCATCTTGACATAATGTCTTGGGAAGGACAGAGTACAATCTCTAAACCAGCAAAGCATGTATTCTTACGTTTCTAACTAATAAACAATGAGAAAGATAGCATTACATTTAACTACATTCTCATTGAAGGGCACAGCAGACTCATGGGCTGAATGGTCTACTTCTGCTGCTAAGTCTATGGTCTTACGGGACTAGGCGGACTCAAAAGAGATGACATCAAATGCAGCATAGTGTAATGCAGTTGACTTTAGTCGAGGCACCTCAAGCTGAATGGTATGACTTTAAGAGAGTTTCAAAACAAGAAATACCTGGAACTGTATATGTACAAATCTTTGAAGGTATCAGGGCAAGTTAACAATACAGTTAATGAAGCATATGGGATCTTTTGGTTTCAGATACAGTAGTAACAAAAGCCAGGAAATTGGGCTAAACAATAGTGAGGTCCAATATAAATATCGTGTCCACTCCAAGGCAACCCACATTAGGAAAGGACAGGAAAGAAATTTACTCAAATGGTTCCAGGAATGAGGGATTAGAGTTTATACAGATAAGGTTGGGGAAACTGAGATAGTATTCTGTACTCTACGGAGAACCCAGTTTTGAAGCACACATTTCATTTAAAAATATTAATATTTATAATGTAATTATGCAAATACTCTCTCCTGCCAATGGAGTTCCTGCAGAAGACATAATGACACAAGCATGGACACAACAACAGTGAATGGAGACAATAACAAGGATGGAATAAAATCTGAAAGAACTGTGGATGCTATAAATCAGAAACAAAAACAGAAATTGCTGGAAATCTCTGGAGGTCTGGCAGCATCTGTGGAGAAAAATCAGAGTTAATATTTCAGGTCGAATGACACTTCCTTACAACAGATGGTAGCTAGGAAAATGTTAGTTTATACGCGGAAGACAGGGTGGGGGGAGGGGGTAAGGGTAAACGATAGGTGGGGATAGAGCCCAACGAGAGAGAATAGTTGGATAGACAAAGGAGTGGATAATGATCTGGCTGGGAGGGTGAATTGCTGTTAATGGAGACTGTTAATGGTTAACAATGGGTTGTGTTTATAGCAGACTATGTGAAAACAAGGCCTGGTGTGTGGGGCTTGTGGTAAAGACATGTAAGAGCTCAAGCCCTAACGTTATTGAACTTGTTATTGAGTCCAGAAGTTGCAGGGTCCCCAAGCGGAAAATAAAGACAGAATGTTCTTTTAAAATGGGAACTGTATTGAGTCTGGTTCAACTACACCTCCAACTGCTAAACTTGTTCAAAAATTTTAACTTTCTTCACAAATGAGGGAAGAACAGGGAAGCAGAACACACGAGATAAGAGCAGGAGTAGACCATACGGCCAGTCGAGCCTGCTCTGCCTTTGAATATGATCAAGCCTGACCCTAAGCTTCATTTACCTGTCAAACTCCCGACATCCCTTGATTTCCCAAGAGACAGAAGTTCCCCAGCCTTAAATATCTTCAACAATGGAGCATTCGCAAACATCAGCTTTCCAAAGAACCAAAACCCTCTGAGTGAAGAAATTTCTCCTCATCGCAGTCTAAAATGATCATTTCCTTACCCTGACACCTTGCCCCTGTGTATTAGAGTCCCAATCTGTCAGAAGCAATCTCTCAATGTCTATGCTAACAAGTGCCTTCAAAATCTTATGTTTTAATGACAGCACCTCACACTCTTCTAACCTCCAGAAAATGGGGACCAAATTTACTCAGTTTTTCAACACAAGTCAACCCTGTCATCCCAGGGACCAATCTATTGAATCTCTGCTGGATTTAAATATGGAGACCAAAATTGAATTTACAGAATTCCAAGTGTGCTTTCACCAAAGTCCTGTATATGTGCAGCAAAAATTCTTTATTCTTGTATTTCAATGCTGTTGCAATAAAGCCCAGCATGGCATTTGTGTTCCTAATTGCTTGCTTTTTTTGAAAGCTAACTTCGCTAACTGTTCTGACAAAGAATCATACCAGATTCAAAACATTAATTCTGTTTCTCTCTCCATAGATGCTGCCAAAGCTGTTGAGTTTTTCCAGCATTCTTAGTGTTTATTTCAGATTTCCAGCATCCACAGTAGTGTTACTTGTATAACCACACTCAAGTCTCTCTGAACAACACTTACAAATTCTAAAATGTATTCTGTCTTTCTATTCAATCAAACCTCATGTTTCTCTGCATTATACTCCACTTGCCATTTTGTTGTCTACTCATTTTGACCGTATGTATCTCTTTGTAACTTCTCTGTATTATCTTCAAAGCCCATATTTCCTCCTAGCTTTGTATTGATTCAAAAATTCAGATGCATTACTCTTTGCCTCTTCAAGTTATTAATGTAGATTGTAAATAAATGAGGCGCCAGCACTGATCCTTGCAGCACTCCATTGTCATTGTCTGCCAAGTTGAAAATTGACCAATTTTATTTACTCATTGATTAATTAGGACATTATCTTTATCCATGACAATACATTTAAAAACTCCATGAGCCCTTAACATAGCTATTAGCTTTTTGTGTGGCACCTTACTGAGTGTCTTTTGGAAACCAGGTGTACTACATCTACTGATTCTCTTTTACATGCTCTAGTTACATGCTCACAAAACTTTAAACAATTTGTCAAATGCAATTTCCATTTCCCAAATCAGACTTAAATAATATTGGGAATTTCTAAATGCATTGTTAATGAAGTAAATGCACAGAGGCCAGTATCCTGTCACAAAGTCACCCTTTAATTACACGTGGATAGTCCTTGAC